GCTGTGTTCATCCAGCTCTACACCAGATTGGTTTGATGTGGATTAAGCATGATTATCAAGCCTGAAAATTGTAACTAGAGAGAACTGGCTACACCTAGTCTCATTAATGCTAATTATATCCAATGGAAATATTTATTCATTGGTTTATTTGACATCACATCTGCCCATGCCCATCCATTCAGGACATGCGTGTTTGCAGTGATTGGCCCACTGCTGTCATACCAATGTACAAGTGGGATAATCTGTTTAATATCATCTGAGCCATTCATAAGGAGCTGTGCGAAATTAAACATTATCCCCTGAAGAATCTCTGGGCACCTATCAACTTCAATTGTGACTTTAATCATGACACCTTTGGTGACTGTACCTTGAGCTGCCGAGGTCCTAACTCTGGAACTCCTTCCCTAAGTACCTCCACATTGCTACCCTCTATAAGACAAAGCTCAAGGATATTCTTTGTGCCCTATACCCAACCATCTTCAGCTGCTTCATCAATGACCTTCCCTTCATCCTAAGGTCAGAAGTTGGGATGTTTGCTGATGATTGCACCATGTTTAGCGCCATTCACAACAACTCAGATACCGAAGCAGTCCATGTTCAAATGCAACAAGATCCAGACAATATCCAGGCTTGGGATGAGAAGTGGCAAGTAACATTTGTGCCACACAAATGCCAGGCAATAACCACCTCCAATAAGAGACAATCTAACCATTGTCCCTTTATGTTCAATGGCATTACCATCACTCACTGCCCACACAATCAACATCCTGGGGGTTACCATTCACCAGAAACTGAATTGGGCTCGCCATATAAATACAGTGGCTACAAGAACAGGTCAGAGGTTAGGAATGCTGTGGCAAGTAACCCACCACCCGACTCTTCAAAGTCTGCCCACCATTTACAAGGCACAAGTCAGGAGTGTGATGGAATACTCCCCACCTGCCTGGATGAGTGCAGCCCCAACAACACTCAAGAAGCTCGACACCATCCAGGACAAAGCAGCTCCGCTTGATTGGCACCACATCCACAAACATCCACTCCCTCCACCACCGACACTCAGTAGCAGCAGTGTGTACTATCTATAAGATGCACTGCAGAAATTACACTGCACCAAGGCTCCTTAGACAGCACCTTCCAAACCCATCTAGAAGGACAAGGGCAGCAGAGACATGGGAACACCACCCCCTGCAAGTTCCCCTCCAAGCCACTCACCATCCTGACTTGGAAATATATCACCGTTCCTTCAGTGTTGCTGAGTCAAAATCTGGAATTCCCTCCCTAAGGGCATTGTGGGTCTACCCACAGCACATGGACTGCTGTGGTTCAAGAAGGCAGCTCACCCCCATCTTCTCAAGCGGTAACTAGGGACGGGCAAAAGACCTGTATCTTTAATCAAATTTTGAGCCACATTCCTTAAAGTTTATTTTTATAGCTGATTGTTGAATTTTCTTTTATAACTTCTTTAAAGTCTTTTGGTACATTTTGTTACAGGAAACTTACCATCAAAGTAAGTACAAGTTGCTGCTGTGTTCCCTGATACTAAGTTCCATGAGAGAAGTCATGAACTGAGCAGGCGACTGTGTTTACCCCAAGACCAGCTTTCCAATGAAGCCAGTAGCATTCTCTTGTCAACCTTCCAACCTTCCCACCCTCTGGACTTCCTGCTCATAAAGAGGCATCAGCAGAGATTCCACAAGTTCGGAATGCAGTCGCAGCTCGGAGACTGAAGTGATTGGGGATGGTTTTTCTATTCAGGGACACTGTTCACCAAATGCAGTTTAATTGACACAGGCGACTGATGGACTCAGAAGTTGAATAGTCAGTTCCTCAGATTAACTCTTAAAGATCTGGGCACTTGTGTCACGAGTATATATTGGATAACTGGTACACTCCAAACAGACTGTGGGTGTGCCCCAAGGACTACAATCATTCAAAAAAGGCAGCACCACTTTCTTGAGGGCAATTAGGGATGGACAATAAATGCTGGCCCAGGCAGTGATACCCACCTCCTGTGAATGAATGAAAAGGTTTGGAGGTACAGTGTTCAGCATCCTAGCAGAGGTTAGTTGTTAGCAGAAAGAACAAGTTGATTTGATGCAACGTTGCAAACAATGAAGTGGGTTTTGTGACACCCTCGGTGAAGTGGGGAATTTGGGGTGCTCCTGCTGGTCTGGATGACTATGTGAACAGGAGATGCCTGTGACTAGAGCAACCCGAGCTCTGCGTTTTGGAGCTAGAGTGGCAGCTGCAGGGGCGCAACACTGCATTCATGAGGCTGAGAGATTTGTGGATAGTATGTTTCAGGATGTGGTCACCCCTGCAACTTCAGGAAGTGTGGACAGAGAGGGAATAGCTGACTGCTAGACAGAGGAAGGGGCCAGACAGGTCGTGAGGGAATCCCCCCGACTGCATCTCACTCACAAACTGCTCTTCAGCCTGGGAAAATGGTGGGAGCGAGGGTTTCTCTGTGGAGGCCTGTCAGAGACAAGACCGTGGCACCTTGGATGGCCCAGCCACCCAGGGTGGTGGGTGAGATGTGTAGAGGGCCAATAGTGGTCAGAGATTCATCAGTGAGAGGAGTTTTGGCTGAAACTTTTCCAGCTGTAGACATGATCCTAAGGGCGGGATGTTGCCTCCTGGGTTCCTCAAATCCCTCAATGGTCAGGGATATCATAGAGCAGCTGCAGGGTATTCTGAAGGAGGAGGCCTAACAGCAAGAGGTCAGGGTTCATTTTGGGACCAATCACACAGGAAGAAAGAGGAATGAGGTCTGGCAAGCAGACTTTAGGGAGTTTGGGAGTATTTTCTTGCCTGTATAATTTAGCTGGGCAACATCTGCACAGGATTGGGACCAACATCCTCCTGGGGAGATTTGCTGACTCTTTTTGTGGATTTAAACTAGATTGGCAGAAAAACAGGATTCTCATAAGTACTTCAGACGGGAGCAAATCTGAGATGGAATTAGAAATTAAAACGCTAATAAGTCCGAAAGGTTGAGGAAACATAGGCCAGATAAGACAGAAATGAGTTAAGTAATGTTATGTGAAATATATTTTGTTAATGCAAGCAGCTTGTGGAATAAGACAGATGAGCTGAAAGCACAGATTGGCATGCGGGAGACTGATATCATTGCTGTAACTGAGACTTGGCTGAAAGATGGGCAAGGCTGGCAGCTCAGCATTCCTGTTGATAGGGTATTCAGACAAGATAGAGAGCGGGATAGAAAAGGAGGACGGTTCACAATATTGAATACAGAATCAATTATAATAATGATTGAGGATGAGAACTTGGAAGGAGCAACAAATGAGACCACGTGGGTAGAAGTAGAAAAAACAAAACAGGTAACCCCTCTGTCAAATGGGTACTATAGGCCCCCGCGTAGTCAGGACAGATAGAGGATCGAATGTAGTCAAATTTCAGAGAAATGTAAAAATAATAAGGCAGTAATAGTCTGGGATTTTAACTATCCAAATATTAACTGGGAGAGAGCAAAATTCCTAGATCGCATCCAAGAAAACCG